AGGTAAATGACTATGGACTTTCTTGCTTGAGGATAGCAACAGTAACCAATTATGTGTAGCAGAAAACAGCTTAAACTTGTTAACATTAACATTTATTATTTTTAACTAACCACTTATCTTCTGACTTCTGTCCACCCTGATTTGGGGTTTCTATCAGAATCTATACTCTTCAAATTACGATTCTTTGTTCTCAAATAAATGTGCTTTCTCTTTTCCTGAATTTCCAGGTTAATAAGGCCAATAACCAAGAAGTACAAAAATTATTATAGTTATCTGAGGCCTATTTATTTCACATTTCACACATCATGCCACCTTCTTGCTAAGGGTTTTTCATGATCTTTATTGATAACAAATATATTTATATGTGTTTATAACAAATACATACTTAAATAAAATTCTTCATACAGAAATATGAAAAGTAAAAAAAAAGCGGAAACATTTTTACTGTTTGTTTTGTAACTTTCTGTGTATATTCTTTTAAATATATGAAAAAAGATTTGGGATTTGTTTATTTTAGTTTTTTAAATTTTTTTCTTTTCTTTTTTTTTAAAGATTTATTTATTTATACAAGAACCAGGGTACAGGCCAGTCTTGCAGGAGGGTGAGAGGATTCCCCAGAGACAGAGCGGGGAACAGAACAGGCAGACTGACGAAATACACTGCTGAGAGGAGCAGCGGACGAGACAGGAGAGGTCTGCCGCTCCATACGTGTTGCTCCACGGCCAGCGGGGATCCAACCAGCAGAGATTGTGGACAGCTGCAGAGGCTGTGGACAGCTTCACAGCACTGAGCTCAACTGCCTGCGCCACTAGGGAGGCTCTGTTTATTATTTCTGAACAAGTGTAGGGTCAGGAAAACCACAGGGCAGGTTTTCTGACCCAGCAGACCGGGTAAAGGAGGAATCAGAGTCCTCAGTGGCTTTTGCAGGTCTTTTACTGGGGTTTACCAGGTACACAGCAGGCAGGGGTGCTGGGGGTCGGGAGGCTGGCAGGCCTCCCAGCCCCAGCAAGTCTTCACTCTATCTGGGCTCTCCAGTGTTCTCTGCTTCTTTCTTGGCTTCTGTTCGTTCTCAGCTTCTTGGCTTCTGCTGGCGTCCCTGTGACACCAACCTTAAAAGCCCAGTCTTAGCCCAGGTGAATCCCATGTACTTATGCCCACACCCTATTCCAGGTGCCCGCCCTCAGGCACGCATTCAGGACGGCCAGGATCCACCATCTATCTTGATGGTGGGAGGGCAGAAAGCCTGACATTTTTCCTTACCCTACAACAAGTGAGGGTTTTTTAAAAATATTTTAAAAATAAAAAATAAATAAAATATTTTTAAAATAAAAAAATGGCAGGTAATTTTTCTTAAGGGTCTAGAATGATGAAAGAAGCATTTTATGCTAAGACTTGTGAGACAGTAAACAAAATAAGAATTATGTGCTTAAACCAAAACTTATGAACTATGCATTCAAAATTTACTAGCGTGGACCTAACAGCCACTTAAAAAATTGAAAATGATACAGTTTTTATCAGCTTTGGAGTTCCTTTCCAGCAGAAAATTGAACAAATCCATTAGAGCTACCAACATAATTCAGCAGCAGGTAGGACTCCGCTGTACAGAATGTGGTTGATGTCCAGGAAATAACAGGAACATCTTTAAAGTGAGATATCTAAAGAAACTTAATATGTGTAATTTACATCACTCAGCACCCCTGGAAAATGCTTACTGTCTTAGATTCTCAGCAACATTTGGCTACATTTTCAGTTAATTATTTCTGTAAATTTCTGTGATATTATCATGAGATAATATCATTCTATCATGGGATAATATTGCTATTTAAGAAACACTGAGCGCTAAACCACTCAATTCACTGGAAGTTCCTCACACTATTCTGATGCATCTGGAGGCAAACAAGCTGCAAGTGTGTCAACTACTAATTATCTCCTATGATTGGGGACACACTAGTCTGGCTATGTCAGGACAATGATCACAGTGTTGCAAACATGTTCATTTTTTTGTGATATGGACAACCATGATGTAAGGGGCAGGACAGGGCACAAGGCAGGTTTTCTGATCCCATGCAGACCGGGTAAAGGAGGAGTCAGAGTCCTTAGTAGTTTTGCAGGTTTTTTATTTGGGGTTCACCAGGCATATGGCAGGCAGGGGTGCTGGCTGGGGGGCTGGGAGGCTGGCAGGCCTCCCAGCCCCCAGCAAGTCCTCACTCTATCTGGGCTCTCTAGCGTTCGTTCTGCTGCTTCTCGGCTTCGGCTTCGGCTGCGGCGGCTGCTGCTGCTGGTGCTGGTGCTGCTGGCGTCCCCCCGTGATGCTGCCCTTAAAAGCACAGTCTTAGCTCAGCTGAATCCCATCTACCTATGCCCACACCCTATTCCAGGTGCCCACCATCAGGCATGCATTCAGGACAAGGATCCATCATCTATCCTGATGGCGGAAGGGCAGAAAAGCCTGATATTTTCTTTACCCTACAGTCCACCCCCTCAGGGTTTTCTGCCATACAGTCTATACATATATACACAATTTTCTAAGCAAACAAACAATGCAGCCATGGCCCACAAAAGCAAATACATCAAATAACAAAATACAACATAACAAAATACAACAGAACACAAATAAGTCCAGGCAGGGCACCAAGTGCAAAAGACAATTATTGGTACCAGCAGATGAGCCACCAAATCTGCTGCCGAAGGCACTGCTCATACGAGGGAGGGGAAATCACACACAGCATCTGCTATAACACACCAGGAGCCGTCAGGCTTCCTGGCCTTCTCTGGCTGTAGTCTCGGCTACAAGGCACACACAGCATCCACCCCCAGGATGCACTAGCTCTGGGATTGGCAATTTTATTCTGTTGGGGGTAATCGCCAACCCTCAGGGTTTCTGTCTGCAGTCGCTCCAACACTCGGCCTTCATGGCCACCCATGCGACTCACAGACCCCTGCTCTCAAGCCAACCCACTGCACAAGCACATGGGTTGGGGATCCAAACTTTGCATTTGGCTTGGGCTCCACCCCAAGCCACATTCCCCACCCGTCCCCCAAGGACGGGCTCCTCAGCTCCTCACCCTCACTCAAGAATGAGCAGGGCATCACCCATAGGTGATTTTACGAGACTCACAGGGCTTCAGCATACCCAGGCTGCTTAACAGCCGCTTTAGGGCTTCTCAACTTAGCATCAGTACCAGCTTTTGCCACCTTAGTTGGCTTTTCTCCTCCACCTGGCCACTGGGCATACACAGGCTGCTTTTGGCCATCTAGGCCCACTGGCCACCCCCAGATTCTCAAAAAATAAACATAACCTGCTAAGGTCCTCCGCCTTCTGGCGGGATTGTCAGTCCAAAATCATCAGTTCATCAGTCTATCAGTCCATTGGCCTCTCCCTGCTTCAGCAATGGCCTGCTGCCTCAGGGGTCATTGGCTGGTCCTTTCCGGTGTCATTGGCTGGTCCTTTCCGGTGTCATTGCCTGGTCCTCTCGGGCGTCTCCTCCCTGCGAGGTCTCGTCCCACAGCTCCGGACCGTATCCACCTTCTGTGCCGCCATGGTGCCTCCAGCGTCATCACAGGCAAACAGTCTGTTCTCCTTAGTCCCTCCAGGTCTTCGGAGGGCTCCAATACCCGTCTGCATGGATCTTGCCGACATACGCCAATTGTAAAGGCAGGACTGGGCACAGTGCAGGTTTTCTGATCCCATGCAGACCGGGTAAAGGAGGAGTCAGAGTCCTTAGTAGTTTTGCAGGTTTTTTATTTGGGGTTCACCAGGCATATGGCAGGCAGGGGTGCTGGCTGGGGGGCTGGGAGGCTGGCAGGCCTCCCAGCCCCCAGCAAGTCCTCACTCTATCTGGGCTCTCTAGCGTTCGTTCTGCTGCTTCTCGGCTTCGGCTTCGGCTGCGGCGGCTGCTGCTGCTGGTGCTGGTGCTGCTGGCGTCCCCCCGTGATGCTGCCCTTAAAAGCACAGTCTTAGCTCAGCTGAATCCCATCTACCTATGCCCACACCCTATTCCAGGTGCCCACCATCAGGCATGCATTCAGGACAAGGATCCATCATCTATCCTGATGGCGGAAGGGCAGAAAAGCCTGATATTTTCTTTACCCTACACATGACAACTTATCCTCTCGCCCTTCCTGATTATGACAGTCTTCATAGTTATGTGAAAGTTTTCCATTTTACCTTATCATATTTTACTGCATTCTTTGCCTCCTGCTCTCAGGAGCCTTATTTGGCACTGTTCAGGTTGATCAGACACTGCAATCTGAAAAGATTTTCTCGTGAAAAATATTCATTAGGTCATGAAACAAATTTTTTCCTTATAGTTTTATTCTTTCTTTCAAAGAAAATTAAAAGAAAATTCCGCCCCCCTGGGAAATTTAATCATGTGCATTTCCTCTAAAGACACAGGCCTTGCAGCCATTGCAGTAATTTTTTTTCAATTCACCAAGGATTACTCTAAAATAATGAAAAGAGCAATCAACTTGAGGATTTGTCAAAGAATCCAGGCAATGCCACACATTAAGGTAGTGAGGTTATCTCTCTGAGTTTAGATTTCTTCCTAGGAATTAACACATCTCTAAAAGATACTGTGATAATGTAATTAGGCAAAATATGTGCAAATTCCTGGCTCATTTGCTGACATTTAATAGTTTTCCAAATAGGTGTTTAAGTTTAACTAATATTAAATAAATCAATTAGTATAATACTTGGTTTTTCTTAGTTGGATACATAATTCTCTTGATAAAAACAGGTTACTTTTAAAGCCCTAACCATATTGTAGGAGTTCCTCAAGCAAATAAAAATCATTAACCAGGGACACAAGATATATTATGGTAACAGAAGGTAGTAAAATCTCTGCTGAGTAAATTAAATCTGTGCTACTAACTACACTTTACATACTGACAGCATCATTAAAAAGTAACCCAGAAGTATTATTATTGCACAGATTTTATTTTGAAAACAGCCTACAGCTTTATTTCCAAATTTATTCACTTAACATTCTTTGTTTTCTAATTTCATGTCAGAAATAAATATTGAAAATCTACAGCAGTCAACAAGATTTTAGTGAAGAATGATGCCTGTAAGTCACAGAAATCAAAAATTTGATCTCAAAAAATAAACTTTCTTAGTTCTTGCCCCATCTCCCATATTCCATCAATTCTTACTGATAAGGCTTGTAATAATTAGCTCTTGATGGAAACAAGGAGAGAGAATCAGATTCAATTTTTTTTCTTATTTTTGAGGGCAAGAAAGGAGTCAGCATTGATTGATTATTGAAAGAGCAACTTAGTGAAAGATGAAGGAAAGAGATCTCTGGGAGACCGCTCCGGGCAGTAGAGGCTCCCCCTAGTTGCCAGAGCTTAGGATCTATATAGGTTTTAGGACTGGAGTTTGAGAACAAATGATTGACACTTTATTGGCTGAGAAAGCAAAGAATGTGGACTTGGCCAAAGTCCATCTGTTTGTTTAGTAAGATCCATTCCTTATTACTAATTGTGGGCACCAATCAGTTGCAACTTGGTGGTTGCCTAGGATTGTGAACATCTCTTGGGGGTTGTGCATGTATATGTATGCCTGCAGCTCTGTTTGATCCAGTCTGGTTTCAGGGTCTATAACTCCTTTTTTTTCCCCGCAACAACCAGAGGACTTGATAAGCTGTATTAGATAGTTCAGAGTCCAATTAAAGAGTTGTGTCCAATTTCTGGCAAGCAGAAAAATAAAAGGCATTTCACAGCTAGAGCTGTGGGGAGCCAGATGGGTTTTCAAAGTATCTGCTGGTTCCTAGGAATGCTTTCTGTTCTCTCATTGCTGGAGGCAATCTTGGGCAGTCTTTCTGGATCCCTTTGTGGCTGCCATACAGTTAATCTGAGAAAACTGTTCCAACTAAACATAAGTTTGAATATAGTTTACATAACTCCAGATTTAATTTTTGAGATAAGTTGGCTCTTTATTTCAGATAGGAAACAGAATGTTCTTGAGGGCAAGAAACACCTGCTATAGCTTCCTTCAAAACAATGTTTCCCTACAACTATGTCACTAAAGAGAACTGGTGGAAAATGTGTAAGATAATACTCATTTATTCACTTGAATTAATAAATTGTCTATCATAACAAAACAGTGACTAGTTACAAGGAAGATAACCATGATGGTTATATTATTTGATGTATAGATGTATTTTCACATTTCTATAACACAGTAAAAAATTAATTTCCAGAAGCTGATAGCATTTACTTATCATGGGAGAATGTGAATGGAAGTGATTTCTGGGTTCAATTCTAACCCAGTTTTCAAAGAAGTCTGAAAACCATACCTCTTGAAAGAGCATAATTTAAGTACAATTAATGAAAAAGTAATATAAATATATAATAGATGTAAGCAATAAAAATAATGATAAATGTGAGAAGAACATACAATCTTTGTGTATACTTTTAAATAACAGAAGACTGGCTTGAGGGACTTTAAAATGATAGGCATATTTATAAAATAAATATAAAGATAAGACTGAAGGACATTTTTTCATTATTTCTACATTCTGTAGTTTCCTCACTGAATTATACCTTTTTCTAAAATTTTGGTGCACATTTTCAATTTCTCTAACTCTGGCAAAAAATACATAGGAAGGAATAAAATCACAGTTTTCTTATAGTCATGAGAAATAAGTTGATAGATATGATTTAGGGAAACTCACAATGAGTTTGGATGCCATTTTTATTATTTTTGTTCACATTAAACTTTTAGTATATTTTGCTTGGATTTACAAGCTTTGAGAACTAATGTGTAACAATTTTTGTTGCAATGAAAATATTTTATAGTAAAATTCAAGTATTACATTCCATATCTGTTTAAATGTGTCAAAGAGGAATAGCACCCATTAAGAAACCCCTCTCGGGCCTTCCCTGGTGGTGCAGGCAGTTGAGTGCGGCTCTGTGAAGCTGTCCGCAGCCACTGCAGCGAGGTTTCGATCCCAGTCGGCAGGCGAGAATCCCACATGGCAAAGCAGACCTCTCCTGTCTTGCCTGCTGCTCCCCTCAGCAGTGAATTTCATCTGTTGGTCCGTTCTGTTCCCCACTCTGTCACTGGTGAATCCTCTCACTCGCCCGCGCATCTGGCCTGTACCCTGGATCTTGTATAAAAATAAATAAATCTTAAAAAAAAAAAGAAAACAAAAGAAAGAAACTCCTTCCTCTAGAAAAACAGTCTTATTTCTGGAGATACTAGATATTTTTTCCTTCATTTCCTAGGTAATCTCAGTTTTCAGAAAGCTGATATGTCTGGCAGTCTCTGTCCATATCTCTTAGTAAATAAAATAAAATATATTTTATTATAGCAAAGCTTGGTTACATGCAACTAGAAAATTTGAAAGAAAGAAACAAAAATCAGTGTTTCATCATAATACCAATGAAGAAATTTATCTTTTAATTATTTAAAATATAATTACAGTCCAACTCAGAATAAATGTATATCTATTGCTAATTATTTTACTAACAAATCCTCTATAATATGCCTCTCTAGACAATGTAAGACAATGTAAGTTATTGGGAGCAAAACATCTCCTGAAATATAGATCTTTCAATTTCCTATGATTTAAAAATGAGCCTTATTGTAAGTAAACTTGCATTACAGAGAAGTACTATTTTGATATATCATACTATTTCCCTTGGTTTCCAAATTTCACTTCATTGCTTTTCCTCCTGTGTTCAACTATATTTGATGTTCTCTTTGTGTTATATATGCATCTATTTGCAACAATCAATCTCTGAAATTAAGATTAGAAAACGAACAAATGAGTGAATGTGTCAACAAAATAACAAAATGCAACCTAAAGGCCAACTATTTAGAATAGCAAAAATGATGCCAACTGTCATCTAGACTTGAGAATATCAAATTCACCGGATTTTCTGTAAAAAAATTGTTCTTTCTCTTAGTGAAAGGCACGTGAGGATTAGGTAGACCAAATCAGTAAACGTTCTCTACAAAGACCCAAAGAATAAATATTTTAGAATTGTAGGTTACATATCTTCTTTGTCATATATACTTGAGGATTTCCTTTTTTAACCTTTAAATGTGTCACATACTATTCTTAGCAGACAGTTGTATAAAACCAGGCCTTGGGCCTACTTGGGCATACTGTCTACCAGCAAGCAGCATGTTATAAAATGCTGAGGACAGTGCTACTCTATATTGGGGCTGCTTCCTCATTCAAGTCTGTCTCACACTGGCATGGCATTAACTCTCAATAAGTCACCTCTCTGTTGCTCTAAGTTAGGTCTCTGCTGCTGCTTCAATATCCCCAGCGGCAGCTCTCTGAAACACTCCCTGAGCAGGATTCAATAAACTATGGTCGTGAAATGTGCTGAACTTTGGAGTTGTACAAGTTTGCTACCTAATCTGGTTGTATGATACCCTAACAATGCAACCTTAAGTTAAAGGTGTAAAATGTTCCATTTCCTCCCCTATAAACTGGAAACACTAAAAGCAATGCTATGTGGAGAAATGGAATGAGAGTACATTTGAGAAAGTGATAGAGCCTAGAGCACTGTATTGACTCTGGCCTTGCCAGGTTCCTTGTCTGCAGCTGTCCAGGAACAGGAACAGAAGCAAGTGCTGACATCTAGTAAAAGTCAGTGCTGCATGACTCAGACTATTTCTTTCGCTCAGCAGTTGGCCAGCTCAGTGTTACTCTTTCAGAACTTTCTTCCCATTGAGATCATTATCTGCAAATATTTGTCAAGGCACCACTATTTGCTAAAACTCCTAGACAAAATGCCAGAGCACAGAACTAAGGAAATATATCCATGCAAGGGCGTTCTAGAAGATTGACACTCATCTACCCTGGGACTACGTTTCCTCCAAACTAATCCCAGAAAGGCTTGGTTTGAGTATGTGCTTAATGAGATGATGTTAAAAATCACATTCAACATTTATGTAAAGAACTGACCATTTGTCTTTGCAAGAAATAATACTGTAACCATATGTTTGTGTTAGAGTAAAACTGTGTCAAGAAGTGTGATATTAATTGAGAAGGAAGTGATAATAACAAACACGTTCTATGAAGCCAACATTACACTAATACCAAAAGTGAACAAGGACAATGCAAAAAGGAAAACTACAGGTCAATCTCTCCAATGAACACTGATGCAAAAATCCTCAATAAAATTTTAGCTAACAGAATCCAACAATGTATTCATAAGATAATTCACCATGACCAAGTAGGATTTATTCCAGGGACACAAGGATGGTTCAACATCCAAAAATCAATCAATGTAATCCAACACATCAACAAAAAGAAATATAAAAACCATATGATAATATCAATAGATGCTGAGAAAGCTTTCAAAAAAGTACAACACCCATTTATAATAAAGGCCCTTGAAATTCTCAGGATACATGGAACATACCTCAACATCATTAAGACCATATATGATAAGCTTATAGCCAATATCATTCTCAATGGTGAAAAGTTGAAAGCATTTCCATTAAGGTCTGGAACAAGACAAGGATGTCCATTTTCACCACTGCTTTCAATATAATACTGGAAGTCCTAGCCAGGGCAATAAGATAAGAAAAAGAAATACAAGGAATCCAAATAGGGAAAGAAGAAGTAAAACTATCACTATTGCAGATGACATGATAATATACATAGCAAACCCCAATTTCCACAGAAATACTAATCAAACTAATCAATCAGTTTAGTAAAGTTTTAGCAGGATACAAAATCAACACACAAAAATCAGTAGTCTTCCTACACACAAACAATAAATTTGAAGAAGCAGAAATCAAGAAAATCATCCCTTTTATTATTGAAACAAAAAAAACAAATACTTGAAATAAACCTAACAAAAGAGGTAAAGGACCTATACAAAGAAAATCATAAAACACTGTTAAAAGAAATCGAAGACAACACAAAGAAATGAAAAGATATCCCCTGCTCATGGATTGGAAGAATTAATATTATCAAAATGGCCATTCTACCAAAAGTAATTCACAGATTCAATGCTATTCCAATAAAAATTTCAATGACATTCTTCAAAGAAATAGAACATTGATGAAATTCATATGGAGCCACCAAAAACCCCGAATAGCCAAAAAAAAGAAGAAGAAGAAGGGAATGGAGGTATCACACTCCCAGACTTCAAACTATACTATAAAGCTATAATAATCAAAACTGCATGGTATTGGAACAAAAACAGACACATGAATCAATGGAACTGAATAAAAAATCCATAAATAAACCCACAGATTTACAGTCAAATAATCTTTGAAAAAGGAGCAAAGACTATGCAATGGATCAAAGAAAGTTTGTTCAATAAAGGATGCTGGGAACTCTGGGTTGCTACATGCAAAAGAATGAAGCTTGACTACTTCCTCACACCATGCACAAAAACCAACTCAAAATGGATTAAAAAACTAGACATAAGACCTGAAACCATAAATATATATGAATGAAATATAGGCAAAACACTACATGACATATACCTCAGTAACATCTTTAAAGACACATCACCCAAAGCAGTGATAGTGAAGGCAAAGATAAACAGTCGGGACTACATCAAACTAAAGAGCTTCTGTACAGCAAAAAGAGAGAAACCAAAACAAAGCAACACCCCACCAATTGGGAAAAAAATTTTTGCATACAACATTAATGATAAAGGACTGATCACAAAAATCTACAAAGAGCTGACAAGACACAACAAAAACAAAGTAAATAACCCAGTCAAAAATGGGCAGAAGAGCTAAAAAGAAACTTCTTCAAAGAGGAAATACAAATGGCCAACAGGCATATGAAAAAATGTTCAACATCACTTGTAATTAGGGAAATGCAAATCAAAACTACCATGAGATACCATCTTCACCAGTGAGAATGGCACATATTAAAAAAACTAGCAACAACAAATGTTGGCGAGGATGTGGAAAAAAAGGAACTCTCCTGCACTGCTGGTGGGAGTGCAAACTGGTCCAACCACTATGGAGAGCTGTGTGGAGGTTCCTCAATCTGCTAAAGATGGAACTTCCATATGATCCAGCAATTCCACTCCTAGGTATTTACCCAAAGGACACAGAAACATTAATTCAAAAGGGCACCTGCACCCCTATGTTTATAGCAGCACTATTTACAATAGCTAAGCTATGGAAACAACCCAAATGCACCAAAACAGATGACTGGATCAAGAAGATGTGGTACATATACATAATGGAATATTACTCAGCAATCAAGAAAGATAAGCTCATACAATTTGCAGTAACTGGATGGAGCTGGAAGGGATCGTGCTCAGTGAATTAATTAGAAAGAAAAAGAAAAATACCAGATGGTCTCACTCATAGAAGGAATTTAGAAAACCTAAATAAGGGACCAGGAAAAAGACTATAATAAAGTAAAAATCAAAATCAACAAGCAACTATAAACGAGAGACACACTACAGGGGGTGAAAGGGGGAGAAGGCAGTAGGATCAAAACAAGGCGGGTGGGAATTGTGAGGGGACTATAACCAAGATGAAAACATATACATTGTGCAAAAATGAAAAATGATGCAAAAATATATAAAAATAAATTAAATTAAAAAAAGAAGTGTGATATCATGAAATAAAAATGTCTTCATTGACATTATCATGAATCACTGATTTTTGTTTCTCCTTTTCAAATTTTCTAGTTGCATGTAACCAAGATTTGCTATAATAGAATATATTTTGTTTCATAAACTAAGACAGATGGAGAGTGCCAGGTGTAACAGGTTGAAATGAAAGGAAAAAATCTAGTGTCCTGAAAACCATACCATCTTCAGAAATAAAACTCCTTTTCTAGAAAAGGGTTTTAAATGGGTCCTATTGTACTTAATTTCAGTATTAAGAAAGTGATATGATTTTTCACCCTCATAGATGATTTCTCTTGAAGCACTGTCATCACATGTTACAGAGATAGGCACACAGTAGGAAGGTAAGTGCAGTAGCTCCTAAATCTAAAAAGAACTAATTACTTCTGAAATTTAATTTCCCTTATTGTTATAAAACACTTAGTTTCTGCTGATTAGTTTCCAAACCTGCAAAGAAAACTTCCATGCTGAAATTCCTGATAGCTAGTGTTACTAGCTATGGTGTTACTAAAGAAGTGTTACTAAAGAAGTAATG